TCCCCGCCCCGAATCGGGTCAACCTGAAAGCGACACGAAAAGTGTATAAAAACTCAACCCAAACACGATTAACTCGAACACAACCTATTTGACCTGCCAGTTTAATTTTTTATTAAAGATTATACTTCTAAAAATTAAAAAGTAACAATAGGCAAATTAAGAAAATTCTCTGCTTATATATTGCAAGCCATGATATAAGAGTTAAGAGTACAACCAAATTTCATTTACTTACTAAAATAAAACATATATATATATTCAAACAATTTTTCATATTTGTTTAAGTCAAGTTCGGGTTTTCGAGTTCAATCAGAACGCAACAAGAATGTTTTGTGTCGAATTCTCAGACCCTAACCCGACTCAAATAATATAAAGTCAACCATAACCACGATTTTTCGAGTTGATTGTGAGTCGTGTTGGGGTGTCGTGTCAATTTTTACACTCCTATCATCGGTCACCACTTCTGTCGCAGGCTACTGCCGGCCAACACCCCGTTGTAGGCCATTTGATGACCACTGCCGCACGCAACCAAAGCCAGCATCACCCACCGACTGGGAGCCATCCGTAGTTCGTCGACCACCATTGCTATGATCCACCTTCGTCAACCCTATCCGCATGTCGCCTATTGCTTGCTTGCTACCCGCATCCACCGCCCATTACCGCCAATACCAACTGCCCACTGGTCTCCATTGCCAGCTGTCGCACGCCTCCACCGCTGCCTAGTCCTAACGATCACCGCCGACCACCGCAACTGCCCAATCTTTCAGATCACTGCCGCCACCACTACCACCATATGCATTACTTTGAAATACATTATTTTCATCTACTTCAAACCAAACAAAAAGAATGAAATCGTTCATTTATTTTACGCTGAACCAAACAACTCCAAAGTATTTTAAATACAACGCATTACTCATGTATTGTATTCATATTACACTGCATTACTTTTTCAAAAAACCAAACAACCTTAACTCTTTATTCTTTCCCACACACTATTGGTTCAAATGTTCCCTCCCAAGTCCATAATTTTTTATTCAAAATATACTTCTTTGCTTCAAACATTGGAACAAGGTTTGAAATTTTTAGGAGTTAAATTTTTTACTTTTCCATATTGGTTCACACTTCTTCCTTCATTGATCTGCCTCTACGTCTCTCTATTTCCACCTATAATCTCCCATCCTACCTCACTTTATCCACTCCCCTCAAAAAAGAGACGATAAATGGAAGACAATTTTCAAGTAAAATTATTCCCTTTAACCAACCTTTGTGGTATTTTTCACATTCCACCTATTTCAAGCTCCCATTTACTCCCTTCATGCATTGTCCTTTGCACATCACAATATCCACTCAAAAGGCTTAAAGCAATCAAATATCAACGGAGTGTACTGATCTTGAATCTTATTTTAAAGGTTTCCATGAAAAAGAATATTTGTCATTTTTATCTTTATAAATTTTACAAACCCTCGGTTCCTCAGAATCTTTGGGCCTCTTTGATTCTAGCATTTCAACTCTCTCACATTACAGTTTACAAGATATTTGCAGCTGTAGGAATGTAAGCTATTTCTGGATCACTAGATCCTCTCCAACTTTGGCATAACAGTTAAAAGCATCGGTCATTATTGTCTGTGTCTTTTCAGCCATTTCTTTTCCATGATATTTTGCCCATAAATGAGAACTGAGGTGAGAGAGCTATGACTTGATTGCTGAATTATATTTATGAGCTATGCAACATAATGAAGAAATGATTTAATTACCACAAAATTTTTATCACCTAAAAATCACATAGGTACAAATTGACCATTTAAAAACCCAAGAAAATCATATAAGCAGCCAAGAGGACCATATTGGCCGTGTGAAAGCCCAAGAAAATCATATAAGCAGCCAAGAGAACCATATGAGCATCTAAGATGGCAACAAGGTAAAAAGGGACTACCATGAAAGAAACAAAGAAAACCACACGTAAGAATAAATAACCCAAAAGATCAATGAAAAGATGAGAAAAGGTCGGAAATAAGCATAGGTCACAATAAAGAAGTGCGAGGATAAGAGGAAAAAATAATATTAAATTAAAATTCCCTCAAGAAAGCATAATCTAAAGGTAAGGAGTGGTCTCCTAATGTACAAATAAATACACTTAGATGCAACCAAAAGAATAGAATGATATCTTTCGAAGTCTATAGACATAATTTTTTTTCTCATGCAAAAATATTAAGTTCATCTTGATTTGCATCAATCATGAAAATTTTCAGGATATATAAGGGTTGTTATTTGCTGCAAGAAAGATGGAAGGAAATACTTCCTCAGAGAAAAATGATGGAAAAGAAAAAGTTACATTCAAACTCCAATTGTTTCCTCAATGCATGTTTCATTTCTTCTAACACAAGTTTTTCCCCATTTGATTTGACTGCAACTAGAACAAGTCAAGCAAACAAAATCTTGGAGAAAAGAAGTCCCAATATTTCATAAAGTTTACTACATGGTTTCAATTTCAAAGTCAGCACAACAAAAAAAAAGCTTAAAGGTTAAGGAGATCGCGGCACGAAGTTAAAGAAAAAAAAGGTATTGCAACCTGTGGGTAAATAAGAAGTTTCATTGTAACATTATTCTCTTAAATTATTTTCCTCGGAACATAACCTCGAGAGTGCTTCCACATGAAGAAGGAATTGTGATGGCAGCAGCAAAAAGAGGAGCTCCAAAATAGCAATTAGAAGCTCGATGCTGTTGATGAAACCCTATTAGTATCTTTCCTTTATTTTGGAAAAAAAGCATAAGCAAATCAGTTTTAATTGTTTTTTCTTGTTTAACAGTAAAGATAAAAGATGAAATATTTTTAATAAATTATATTTACAATCATTTCTAGATTTATTTTATACCTAATGCTTAAAAAAAGAATTGTAAACAAGATATACTTTGTAGATATTTATTCTTGCTTTCAAAAATAAAAGACTCACCAATATTCAAGAAACACCCAAATTTCTTTAACATATATGTAAATAAACCAACTGGATATTACCATTAAAAATAATACCTACTTAATTATATCAAAATATATATGAATAATAATTTTTATTGGGATGAGTTGAAAGACTGCATCAACAGTGAGCCTAAAGGAAAAGGAAGCTCATAACTAGTAGTCCCATTCAACTTTGCTCTACCATTAATGTCACCTATCACATTTACATAAGGAGAAGTCTTAAACGAAGGTCATTCAGAAGGAAAGAAAAGTCAACAGGTGTTCAATTAAATTTAATTTTTATTTGCTATAGTAAAAAGAATGATAAATTTAGATATGTTAATGCATGTATGATAATATTTTAAAAATAAGTTAATGGTAATGCCAAGAAATAAGGATAATTATAGGCCACTAAAAATAACAAGTCATCGCATCTGGAAAAAAAAATAATGCCAGTGAAACATGAAACTGCAATTATATTTCATTAAAATTACTAAAATAATCATACTAAATATTTCAATATATTACATCAAGTCAAAAAAACAATACTTTTTAACAATTTAATAGCCTCAAACTATTCTATTGTTGGGAGAAATTTTGATATGACAGTGCCATAATTTTGCAGATAATTCCATTTGGATAAGTCGGTGAAACAATCCCTTCTAGATCTTCAATGTATGTCATCTTGTAGAGTATAGCTATACCTGCCTTGGTTTATTGTGAAAATTCATTGATGGATTAGATCGTACACCCATCAAGGCATATAAACCATATAATAATGTTTCTGCTTCTTGATAAAGAAGCGGGATGACAGCACAGAACATGCCAGCTACTAATATTAACTCGGAATTATTTAAGTGTTGTTTAGGAGGCGAGTCAACTCATTATGAAACTATCCTAAAGGGTGTTTTAAAATGCCTACTGGTCTAAAAGTGATAGATCGTAAATACTACAAAGTGCATCCATGCCACTCCACTAACCCAGGAGATACAGCACAATTTAAGGTCAACATTATCATCTTTCAACGAAAATTGTAGTCACATAATCAAATTTTGAGTAAATAACTGAGAAATACTAAATGTTTGAATAGATGCATAGTTTTTTTAAGAAATCTGCAACTTTTATCTCCCCAAACATATTTAAGTACCAGCTATAAAATTTTAAATTATTTTTTGAATTTGTATTATAAATAGGCTTACAAACTTTGCAGCAGATAGTGCTGATTTTTTATGCACTTTCATGCTGACAAGAAAGAATTGACTAAACATCGATATTGCATACTTTAAGATCTGCTAAACACCAATTTAAAATATCATGCAAATCAATCCAGCACCTTTTCCTAATCTTTTAGTTCTATAAGTTGCTTTTTGGTTAATTTTTTATTAGTTAACATTGAAAAAAATTTAATATTAGAGGTTATTATGCATTTGATTACACTCTTAATACCTTTTATCTTCTTCTATTTATTATGACACTATCTTGTATAAAGGAGAATGTACAAAGATAGTGATGCATCCTAGAAACTAATATAGCATTGAAAGTAATTAAAAATTATATATGATTTGCACTATGATGCTTGAAGTATTGCTTTCTTTAGAAAGGACTAAACCATGGGGACAGGGCATAGCATCCAAAAAAGAATGTTGGTGCAACCGGAACCATATCTCATTAAGAGCAAGAATGAAAAATGTAAGCAGCCTCATGAAGAAGCTGAAAAAATGCACACTTTGAGCAAATAAACAGCATCATCAACATGGAATTGAATCTTAGGCAGCAGATATATAGTTATGACTGTACCTTAATAAATACAATATCTAATGAGCGCAATCTGTTGGAACTAATCATCAAAAAGATGTTGTTGAGCACTGCTTCAATCTCAAAGTGAGGGATATTCTTGATAACAGGTATTGTGACAGCATTTAAGCAACATGTTTAAGTTATCTTTGAAGAAACTTTGTGTTGCGCTGCATTTTTTAAAATAAAGTTAAAACTAATCTCAAAGAGATAGATGAGCTCCACGACAAGTGAGTTCTCTATGATTGCAGCGCAATGCAGGGGGGCGCCTAGATAGAATAAAGCTATTCATTCCCTGATATTAGCACAATTTAACAAAAATAAAATAATTAGACAGATTTTAAAAAGGCAATAGAATACCAAATAAAACGTTGAATCATTATTTGAAAAGTACAAAGCTGTCAGGATAAACTGATGCACGAATGTTTCTCAAGAATTATGCCTCATTAGCTCCAGAGTTTGCACATAATCACTAAAGAGAATGTCAAGCAATGCTACAATTACATGGAGGCACTGTTGGTTTAGTAGATTTCTCATCCAAGATACAAGCTTCAGTTGACTCGAACATGCTTTTCCTACTCATGAACATATACTTAAATATGTTTTGTACTCTTCTATGATATTATGGTTTATGCTTCTACTTCTCAGGCCTCCGCATATTAATTTTAAGCATAAAAAATTTCTCCCAAAAGAAAAAATATCAAGAAATAACAGGTAACATTCTCTCATTGAACTAGACAGAACAATGACACTTCAAATCACACTCAACTGGCCTGCAGAATCTTTCCATCATGCAAGACTTCTTTTCTATTTTTTTCCTAATATCATTGCTCATGGTGACCAAATATCCCATAGTCTTCTATTAGTAATAATTTTCTTAGTTAACATCTCTTCTCTACATATCACAGGTATTTTTTATCAGATTATTTTCTGCTCTCCAAGACAAGAGAACTACCGTATTAATGAATGTTCACAGAGAATTTAATGGGTTTTGGAAAGTAGTGCTATACACAAATAAATCAAAACTTTGACAAAGCAGTCTAAGTAACGGATTTCTAAAATTTGGCGTTTTCAGGAGGCTAACTGAAGTGAAAAATGTACTAAAATCCTTTTCGAGGGCTTTTTGCTTGTAGGTCACAGTATCTCAGGGATGCAATTCCCTTAATTACATCTCGTGATTGATGGAGAGAACTCTCAACTAAGGATGACACAGGTCTCCATTTTTAATTTTACACTGGCGTTATGCATTTGTCGCTTAATGTTTTGCTTTATCTTAGATGAGATATGGAAAATGTTGGTAAACTCTATCAAGGACTCATTATTCCATCAACTAGTTGTTCAGCGAAGAACAATATAGAGGATCAAAGACATTGTAATGACTGCTGGCTTTTTTCCTTGATTCGAGACTTTGACAATAAACTATCTTCTTAAGAGTGGTGTGTTCCCTCGTCCAATTCTCCAAGATGATGCCCCATAGTGTTAAGTACAAAAAATGTGAAGGGACCCAATTTTCACACAGACTTTAGCTTATTGAAAGCCAGGTGGTGTGAAATAGACCAATGACTCAAAAGTTTGGCAAGCGGAATTACCTCAATGCTGGCCGTAAGGCTAAGGAGTTATTTAATAACCCATTTTAAAAAGGATTTAGCCAAAATTCAGCCAAACCCCTGCAAAAAAGAATATTATATCTCCTAAAGCCTACCATAAAGCAAATGCATAAATTAATAAGATCAGCTAAATGTTTGACCGTAACAGAAGATTTAGTAAAATTGGATCCATGCAAAATTATGTCATGTAGCAAACAAAACACGATACTTAATAATTTTCCCTCCTCATGTGCTACTCTCCTAGCCTTGTTAGGATGGTCATACTCAACCATTGCTATCAACAATCAAAAGCCAAAAATTGCTGACATATCAAAATTTTGTTTCCCATCAGAACTACCATTTTGGTAAGAAAGTATTTACCCCAACATTTTCTCGAGACTATAAATCAATATTTTCTTCTTTCGTCCATTCTGATGCAGCACAAGTATACAATGGAGAAGAACAGGACCATCCACAAGGACTTAAGGCAAGATAAAAGCTGCAACTAATCAAGGACGCCCTTTAGAAGGAGCAAAATGAAAATTTTAAATAAGAATTTATACTTTTAAATGTTGTAAGTTTATTGTGTAAGACAGTGTAAATGTAATTTTTAATTTTGAACATTTGCAATCTTTAAAATTTCGGACTTTTGAAAATCAAAATTTTAGTTCTTTCAAAATCTTTTCAAAATGGAGGGAATGCCATTCAATTTTATTGAAAATTGATTATTTGATTTAAAATTTGAATAAATAATCAATTGACTAGCTACCTTGCCCAACCACCACTCAATTGGAGGGGTGGTTACAGTTGGAGTAACCAACCTTTCCTTAGTAAATCATTTAATCAACCCCCTTATATCCCACTCCCTCCCTTCTGTATTTTGAATTTCTCTCATAAGAATCTATTTCATTATTGGAGAGTGAAGTAAGAAAGGTCGTTGAATGGCAGAAAAAGAATTTAGAATCCTTCTAAATAAGGAGAATGAACTTGGTGAACATTCACCCCAAATGGGCTAGTTTGGCAACTACTAAACCCACTAAATTGAGCAGATGTCGGAATTATCTTTGTTTGTTGTTGTTGAAGCTCTTATTGTTTTTCTTCCTCCGTCCAACTGCATTAGAAATATTTTGCCAAATAAAAATACCACAAAAATTCATATAAACCTCCAACAGAACCTAGTATTGTTACATAGGCTTTGGTGGACCAAACCTCAATAAAAAATTGTAGTACAACAACAACAAGGCTTTATCCCACTAACTAGGATCGGCTGCATGAATCCTTTTTCTCCATGGTGTCCTACTTCATTTAGTTCTAATAAACTAAAATCATTTTTTATACAACACACCCAAACTTTTTAGGTCTACCTCTACCAAACATGAGTCGAACCTAAAGCATCTACTCTCCTAATCAAATCATCAGGTGGCCAACGTTTTATTTTAACATGAGTCGAACCTAAAGCATTACTCTCCTAATCAAATCATCAGGTGGCCAACGTTTAATGTGACAAAAACATCTATAATGGCCCTCTCTAATCTTATCTGCCACAAGAGCTACACCAACCGTTTCACAGATACATTCGTTTCACCTTTTGACTCTGAGTGTCAAGCCACTCATCTCTACCTAAGCATTCTCATCTCAACAACACTTAACTTGGTTTTATGTTTTATGCTTCTCTTTGCTTCTCTTTTAAAGGCCAACATTCTGCATCATAGAGCATTGTAGGTCTCATCACCATCTTATAAAATTTTCCTTTAATCTAACACACTTCGAATGCAAAAATGGAGGGATTGTGTTACTTAGTCAATAATCAGCATATAAATTTGTTGAAAAATTATGACTCATTAAGAAATTGTGAAATTTTCAATTTCTAACCGAACCAAAACCTTAACTTTTCATGCATTTATAGGGCAATTCCCTCACCTTAAATCCACTTTCCAAAGTTAAAATCACACTAATTTGTTGTTAGCCAGAAAGAATTCCTCCTAACCTAATTTTTGTTACAATCCCCAAAAAATGTCAAATTAACTCCGAAAATTAGATAACTCTCTTAAACAACTTTATACACATTAGATTAACGCTATTCAAAATTTCAAGCTCAAAAGACTAAGAGATTCCCAACACAAACTCTAAAGTAAGACCTAAAGCTTCTCAGGTTTTAGATTGTATTGTGTTGACTAACCTTAATTGTTCTCGTAACCTTAAATCCAATGTTAATCAACTCTGCCAAGGCCTATATCCTATTCTCAGCTCTTTTCAGAAGAGCTAAAAACACTAATAAGCCCCCATCAAGAGGGCAATCACAAGCCACATCACATTCAAGTTTAATATTGTCATCAGTATCAAATCCTCGATAATCTTGTGAATGCAGCATGTCATGGTGTAGAACCAAAAGCAATATGTTTGTTTTGTAAATTTGGTTTTATAAAATGGACTTCGGAGTTTTATTTTTCTGGAAATGTCTCATTAGTGAAGTGATTCATCAAGTTAAAGAACTTTTTGGTACCATCCGTCGATAGGCAATAAAACTAATTGCTAAGTTTTTTTTTCCTTTTTTTTCTTTTTTTAAATTGAAAAATTATTCACCCTGTTCAAGGATATTATTTTTTTGCAGAAGCCACCAAGGCACCGTTATTCTGTATCTATATTCCATACACTTATTTAATATGGCTGTAGAGTTAATCAGATATTCCTGTTGGATGGCTTTGTGATCAGTGACTAGATAAATTTTTTTTCTAAATATATATTTGGTGTTAAATGCAAGCTTCACGTGCAAAATTAATATACTAGCCCTTATATAGCAGAACAGCTAAAACAATTGCAGCATTTATAAAAAGCTCTAAATGCCCAAATTTTCAAACGTGAAACAAGAAATTATTCAAAGATTGACTCAAACTTGACATTTTGACTGGTTCTACAACAGCCGGAGACATCAACTTCTAATTCAATCCAAACAACCGCTAAAAGTATAGCCAACTTGATCGCATTGATATGACATGTTTTTTGTAAATTTTAGTCCGTTCTGACTTGGAAGTTCCTGGCACGTTATAATGTATAGAGCCGATAGGCGGCTAATGGTAATCAAGGGTACTAATGGTATTCAAATTTGGCGTGAACTAGAGCTTCCTCTATCCGAGGTACAACTCCTGCTCAAGCTCGAGTCGAACACGCCGTCGAACGTTTAGAATTGGGAGGAACACGTCATGGGTAAAGCTATGAACATGGAATATGTGGAAGGAGGGGGATGCGGAAGAGGTTTACCTTACGGGGAGGCTTTGGCAGACGCCTGCGGCGGAGGCGGGACGACATCTGCAGCGGATGCGGGACGACGACAGCAGTGTAGATCGGCAAATGTGATGGGAAGGACTGGACGTCTGGAGGAGGAGGAGAGGGTGTCGGAAGAAATTGGGGCGCGAGATTGAGAAAGGGTTTTGTAGAGAGACTTTGAGCAAGAGGGGAGGACAAATGTCCCGCCGGTATTTAGGTCATATCCTGATATCCCGTTCTTGTTAACCCTAACTTCTATTTCATGTCTGCCAGCATGGCTGTGTTCATGTCTGCCAGCATGGCCGTGTCACGCTTGGGCACCGAAGTCAGTGTTGTAATGAAAACACGCGCTTGGGCACCGAAGTCAGTGTTGTAATGAAAACATGAATTCCCTATGCACTCCGGAATGTTGGGTACCATATTAAGCATGATTTGTGATATATTATGTTAAATGGATGAAATAATAAGGAGCCCTTTGGGCCGTCTTAAAGTCAAGGGCGGCATTTTTAACATGCCACCATTCTTTTTGTTAGTTAAATCTCTGCCACGTTTTCCTGAATGTCGTTTAGGTTTGTTAATAAATGCGGCCACTAAAACTACCCTGCGTCCCACGTTCGTTTGCTCGCATTTTACCCTGTTGCCCTCATGTCCCCTCTGCCCTCGACCCGGGCCCTAGAGTTGATCTCCCTCGCTCTTGCATCTCTCTAATAGCATCGTTCGCTCTCGGTAATCTCAATCCCTCTCACGCGTATGGTCTTTTTCTCTTCTCTCCTCTCCTCTACAATGTGTGGTTATTCATGTCGAAATTTCGCTTTCTCCATGTGATTTTGGCTTTCTTCGTGAGATGAACTACAACTTGATGATTGGATGAAGTAGGGATGTTTTTACTGAGATTTGTTCTTACTAGGCTTTCTTCATTTTTACTTAGATTTATTTTTATTGGGATGAAATTGGGATGTTTTACTGGGCTTTATTCGTGTAATTTGTTTTACTGAGAATTTGATGATGGATGAAATTGGGATGTTTTCTACCTACAAGTTATGTGTAATTTGTTTTACTGAGAATTTGATGAATGGATGAAATTGGGTTGTTGATTTGTTCCGGAGCATTAATGAGAGTGTGGTTGCCTATGATGGAAGTGTGGTCGCTCTTTTTACTTGTGATGGAAGTGTGGTTGCTTTATGCAAGTGTGTTATCAATTAGAAAAGGCTAGTTTGCTGGTGAAAATGAAAGTTTTGTTGCAATGATATACATCATGTACCACATCACATTCTCTTGATCTACAATGTTGACCTCACTTTTGCGAGGATCTATCCTAAACCGACATTCATGGTCATGACATATCCTGAACCACCCAAATCAAGTCAAGATCCCAGGGATTCTTCTGCAAGCCCTAGGAACACTGATCATCAAATCCTTCTTAGGGAAGAAATCTATTAAAATTGACTCCTTAAACCCATCAGGGGTCCCCAAACCCTAAACTTTGGACCAAACCCTAGTGTGTCTTGTTTTGACCTCAAAATTAGGTGATACCTAAGACAAGCTAAGTCAGTAAAGGTAAGACCTAATTTGAGCCATTATTGACCATATTGACCACTTGGTCAACACTGGACCCAATGGCCACCACATTCACCATTTGATCAACCCTTGACCCAATGGTCACTATATTGACCACTTGGTCAACCATGGACTCTATGATCACGATATTGACTGTAATTGACCCAGCCATCATATAGTCAAGACATCATCATATGATCAGCCCTACACAACCACGGTCAACCCTAGACCACCATGATCAACCCTAGACCATCATGGTCAACCTTACACCACCATGGTCAATTCATGGTCTTTTGGTCAAAATTTTCATTCTCTAAATTAATTAAGGAAATTAAGCATATAATCTCATATATCACATTTGAAATTAAGCATATAGATGCCAAATGAGATGTATGTTATTTTATGATTAATTTCCTTAATAATGATTCTTACTTCGCAACAAAGCCAAAAACTTGATCCCAAGCAAAAGCTAGGTCAATTTTTTACTATGAAGCAAATAAGAATATAATTATAATATTTAATATGTTATACTACACAAGTATACGTATAATTATCAAATAATATAGTAATTTTTTATTAAGTTTCGAATATCGAACCCACAGGGATAACTAACAATATGCAACTTTACAAAATAGAAGAAATTAGATAACAAAATTTTGCTTAACAAAGTAGTCTAACTTAAACTCTAAATGTTATAATAGGAATGAAAATTCGATTCTTTTTGTAATCTTTTATAATTAAAAATAAAGTAAACAACTAATTAGCTTAATTAAATACTTGCAAGATTAAGACAGTATAAATAAAATATCATTTTCATTTTCATGAATCAGTAACAAGTATATGAATTCTGGAAGTGTTCTAATTGTGTTATATCAAATATGATCAATAATATTTTTTACTCTTACTAGAGATGCTATAAAGAATATCGGTTAATCTATAGTTTGAATAGACTTGAAGACGGGTTAGCGATTAATCTATAGTTTGAATAGACTTGCAGACGGGTTAGGTAGGGAAGATACTAGCTCACACTCTAGAGTTCCCTCTTCTCTCTCCACCTGGGGGCTAACATCTCGTATCAAAACCTAAAATTATAGATCAAATTGGGGGCTTTAGTCTGTTGCTGTAAAGTCCTTTAAATTTATATCTTTCAAAGTTTATTTCCCTATTTATTTGCATTCAATCCCATGAACTGCATTCTTATCCATGAAAACAAATGTGATTCTTACCATTTTTTGACTGAGACAATACCATCTCGGATCTTACATGTTCTCACAACAGATAAATATCTCAATTGGCTAAATCAAGAAATAAATGAAGTATAAATGAAGTACAAGGAATGAAGTACAAGGTTTAAAATCATCACAACTTCTTCCAATATTGAAGTTTAATAATTCACATAATCTCTTTTCAATACTTAATCACTTGTCATTTTAAGGAAAAAATTCACATAATTTCTTTTCAATACTTAATCACTTATCATTTTAAGGAAAAAGATAAAGAAAACTACTCAAAATTCATGGAGAAAACACATCACACTTGAGTTTAAAGGTAGAAGTCATGCAAACAAATAAGAAGTTTAAATTAAAACCAAATGTAGTCACAAAGATAAACACTTATCTCAAATCCTCTCCACCAAATGTCTTGAAGTTTCTTTGAATTCTCTTCCTTCCCTTACAATACAAACTAACACTCAAAATAGAAAGAAAAGTAGTCAGCAAGGAGGTCGGCGGCGGCAGCGATGATTTTGGATGATAGATGATTGACGATTGGCCTCTGACGATTTCCTTTAATGATTCAAGTCTTCTTTAATAAAAATCCTAGAGGTGTCTTGGTATCTCTTCAAAATGTGTTTCCATTCAATGAATCTTCTAGAAGTTGCCTCCTCTCAAAAGCCAATTGAGTGAATTTTCGTGTTCATGAACTATTTCTCACGTTTTTACCAAGGGTTGCTTCAAACACCTCTTCAAAAATTCATCCAAATTCAATGAATCATCAAATAACTACTTTTGGTGCTTAAGTGCGGCTCTCTTTGTATAACTGGCGCGTAAGCGCCAATCCTGAGCGCCTAAGTGCCTGTCGGCACTATTTTTGGTGTGGGATTTGCTTGTAAGAAGCTGTCGGTCGTCAAAATCAAAATCCCGTTGCCCGCTTCGGAAGGACGTTTTAAAAATTTTAGTTTTGAAAAAGATGAAGTCAAACTGGCCCCATAATTTTCATAGTTTAGATGAAAGAGCACTTTACCTCAAATCCTGTATTTATCCCGAAGGATGAACACAAGAATTGAGGGTGAGGCTCGATCAAATAAACTTAAAGAAAGTTATGACATCATTTTAGTCTGCGAAACCAATGTATTGGTCGACAAGTTCCCCTATTTAATATAAAGAATTAAATAGGGTTTATATT